ATATTCAACGAGCACCCATGGAGAAAGAAGATTCTATTATTGAGAAAGAAATGTCCTCACAGATGGACAAAAGATCATGTTGCGAATATAAATGAGTTATTGACATCTGTCACATTGGGGGGAAGACTCGTTTTTCTTATTTGAATTAAATAGAATTTTGCTTGGTTTCTTTCGCTTCATCTTCTTTTTCGATAAATATGTAGATGATTACAAATTAATCCTCATGCGGCACTATTCATTTACGCTTATCGTAAGTATGGAGTCGATCGTCAATTCGATGAACGTATTGTTTAAGAATCAGACGTTTATTTGATAAAAAATACTCTTGACGTTCGAATAAACGAAAATAATGAAGAAGAAAAGACTTTATCTCGAGCTAATCACATTCCAATGTCATTTCAAATGATTATGTTCATCATTATGATCCATTTCAATGATGAATTGTTGAGCAGATGTTTAGATCTAAGGTTAAATAGGTTTATACAAATACTTTTAGTAAATAAAACAAAAACATTTATATGGTTTCGTTAATACAGCTCAAGACGCAGGTGATATGCAAACGAAGTCTTGCAAATGAAATACACTTATCGAAATGAAATTCATCTAATTGACTAACATCTGTTTCTCTTATCATTAGCAATCGATTTTCTCTCTCTCTCTCCCGTTCTTCTCTTGCTCTGTTCAACATCTTTTGAAGTTTGCTGATGAGTAACCGCGTAGTCACTTCTGATATGCTTGTCCGAGAAGACATTATATCTCTTTTTTTTTCCTTAGTTTTGATCATTGAAATGATTTCCCGTGAGGGATCATCTGATGGACATCGAAGAAGATGAAATGACTGACCGTTGTGCTTATAACGTAATCCATCACTCTAGCCAAGTATTCGATGCATTTGCTTAATTGAATAATAAAATTTTCTTTTCGATAGTGAACTAATTTCTTCTCTCTTTCTTCTACTGATAGAGAAGATTTTTTTCTCTCTCTCTCTCTTCCTCCCTTCATCATCAATCATCGAATACCATGAGAGATTAAAATTATGAATATAAATTTTCATAGAAATCATCTCATGTAAATTTCTTTCTAATAAGATACTCCATATTTTACTTCGTCATAATCCATCATCAAATGAAAGCAAATTTAATCCCTTTTTGCGCTTCAGTTTGCTTCTCTTGCTTCAACTATTTTCTAAATCTGATTTGATCTCTTGCAAAGAACAAAGATCAATGAAATCGATCGTTATCTGTAAAAAAGACGATCAAGATTTTCTCTCACAACGCTCAGTTCGAACAAAACCTTAACTAAATTTATTGATTTGTATCATCGTGTTATTTCGATATCTTTTATACTTATAATTATTTACATCGATAAATTTCTGTGACATATTCTCAAGGCATAACAATCAAGTACTCTTGGTCGTTTTTCCCTCTGCTCATATCGAGCATCTCACATGCCCTTCTCATCATAGGCATGAATTGAATAGTATGTCTAATGTATAGACATAATTGGTGATGATGTAAATAATTATCAACGAAAATGTGTTATTATATATTTTATCGTAACTTGTTTGATACTGATATTTCGTTGTAAGGGAAAAGTGATAAAAAGGAAGAAAGAAAAAGAACGAAACCGTCGTCTAGAAAAGAGATCAATAACTTTTGATATCAAATATGACAATCAAGGTTATGCAAGTCTAACGTTACAGCTCACTGGTTATTAACACTTCTTCTTTTGTACATATTTCGAGTAGTACATAAAAAAGAAGAGAAAAACGAAGCAAATAGTCAATCAATTAAATAACAGGACTATTTGTTTGAGACAATTTGTTGTCACTCTAATAAAATATCATCTTATTTTATTAGTTTCCTTACGAAGAAATAAGAACTGTCATGGATTCCATTTCTTCATATAATCGCAATGCATATACTTATCAGCAAGGAAGTATGATTTCACTTCCTGACGAAGATGATCCGAAAACATTTGCTAGTGAACCATCGATACTACAACAAAGTCAAGAATTATCTACACATCATCTATCATCATCAGCGTCTATTTCATCAACTGATCAAGTCAAATTACAGACTCTTGATGATACAAATTCATTGCCGACGGATTTGCAAACATCAACGATTTCAAACACTGAAGATACAATCATTCAAAACTGGCAACATTTAACTGGCACATCCATATTCGATGAACATGGATATCAGACAGTGTCTCAATCAGATTCAGTGAATGATGTTAGCACAAGTTATGGCATTCATCATCAGTCACAACAACAAGAAGAACAGCAACAGCAGCAAGAATTCGGCCAAACAGATATTAATTATGATCTTAATCGTGCATCGCCAGAAGAAATTAGCTCGTCTATAGATTACGAAACATTGATTCGATCAAAACAACTCTATTTTGATCCTAATCCGGAAACTATACGTAAACCACAAATGATTTCTCCCTTAGTTTATAAGCAGAACATTACAATTAAATTCTTAAAACCGCCCGCGATTCCTCAAGGACCGTTAATAATTCGTGAAGTTCGTCCTCCTCAACCTCCACCTCCTCCACCACTCGTAAGCGTCATAATTCAAATATTCTAATTTCTAAAAGAAAATTTTCTTTAATAACAAAAGGTTATCCGTCAACGCCCTCCGCCTCCACTTTCTCCACCTCCAATTATCCTACGAGAAAAACCACCACCAATTCCGGTCACAATGACAGGTAAAGAAGTTAATTATAATTTCATAGGCGAAAATGAATGTTCTTTCTGTTTCGCTTAATTAGCTCAAGTTTTGACTAAGACTCTCCCACCACTTCCACCGCCGCCTCGTTCCGTAATTATCGAAAAATTACCACCTTTACCTCCTAAACCACGTGATGTGATCATCGAACGTTGGATCCCATATGAAGCTAGCATGCTCAAACGTAAAGTAGTCGTTCAACGAGCTGAAGAAATCAAACCATATCCACCTCCGAAAAACATTATCATCGAGTACGAATGTTTCTGCGCAATTTTCTATCTATTTTTCGTTGTTTAAGATACGAAAAAGTCGAAGCACGAGTTGTTCGACAGGTCGAACGGCTCGGCGTCGCTCCCGAAGATCCAGAAAACTATTATGCACGTTACGGAAGCACTCTACTTGATACAAATGAACTATTAGCACAAGTGAAACAACTTGGTATCGTCGAAGATTTGGTAAATAATCGTCTCAATCCCCTTAGTCATTCTCATTTAAAATTCTCTTTTCAGTCCATTCCTCAACTACTTGATCAAGGCTCATCTGAGAAAATCATCTCAACTCCATCCGAACGAAAGTTTCCCTACGATAGTCCCTATTCACCTGCTGCTTTCGAACATGCATCTGCTCGTGCAAGTGTCGCAGGAAGTTACACGACAGAGAAAATTCTTTTCAGCGACTCAGAAACCGATCCATATGCTCCAACCTATGAAAATCTCGTACAAGGCTCTGGATTGTCCGTGACTTTTGATGATTTGAATGATGATTCATCTGGTCAAGAAAGTAACGAAAGCTAATTTTTAATGATTTTCTACATATTCCTTTCTCATGTCTTTTTATCTCATAGCTATCGGAGATGAACTATCGAACCAATTAGCTCAATATGGCTTGACGGCAGATGCGATCCCGTACTAAGATAATTCTCAAATTAAATTTGATTCCTATACCATAGACACGTTTTTTTTTCCTTTATGTTTTGTTATTTAAAAGAAAACTTTCTTTCTACTGATTATTCATTAATCAAAAACTCTTTTTATCAAATAAACCAAATTTTAATTTAAAAGTCTGACCTTCTTCTTTCTTTACTGCAGATTAGATAACGAACAATTTCCTCATTGATTCGAATATATAACTAATAGGAGAGATTTTCTCATGATTAAACGCAAAGAATGAAGACTCCGTGGAATGATGTAATATACGTCAGAAAATGGAAGATTATGTCATCGTCTTGTGTCTTACGATAAGCATATGATTGGAGAATAGGAAAAAGGAAACGGAACTATATCCTTCCGAGATTGTTGTTCCTCTATCTCATCACCAAGGACAAACAATCATGGCTAAAGTAAAAGTTTGTTATTTGAATGTATTTGAATGTCATTTATTTCCGTTGACCACTCTACTTAATGAAAATGATCAATCATTGGAAATTTACCAAACGAAAGTAGGTTCGGTCGGCAGTTGGTGTTGGGAATCAGCGATTTGTTTAGCTGAATATTGCTATGATCATATGTTCAATGAATTTCGTCAGAAATGTATTGTCGAGATCGGAAGTGGAACTGGAGTTGTTGGTTTACAACTGTGTGCACTGGGCGGAAATGTAACGATGACTGACCGAGAAGAATATGTGGAATTGATTAATTATAACATCAAAAAGAATGAACATGTCCTAACAGGCAAAGCTCAAGCGAAGACATTATTTTGGGGTGATGATATCGATGAACATGATGAATGCTTTCAAAATGTTAATTATATTATCGTTGCAAATTGTGTTTATCATTCGATTGAATTGGATGAACTAATCAAAACGATATGCAATTTATGTGCCGGAAATTCTTCAACTCGTTTATTATGTTGTTATGAAATACGAAATGATGGTATTCGAAAACTAGTCGATGAATTTCATGAAAAATTAATTGAACGAAAGTTTATAATTGAATTCGTGGATCAGAAGGATTTTCGTGAAAAATATCGTAATGATTACAATACAATTGTCAAATGTCGACGAATGGAATAAGAAACTCGCCGAAATCGATAGACACTTTTTTTAATATGTGGAAAGCATGATTTGTGAAGAACACGATCTACAAGGAAAGATTTTAACATTGTCTCTAACGAGATCTGTCTATGATAAATTTGACATTGAACTTCTATTTGATCAATTTTCTTAATGTACTCGATATTTGCATAGGAATTCAATTTGTTTTCTGAAGAGTTTTGCATTAGTCTGGAGTGATCTACTTGTTTGTATTTCTGTTAATTGATTTCGAATAGACGAGAGTTTGTTATTGGAAATCATTTTGACTTTTAACCTTTATCGAGTCTACGGACGATGATTAGATAGATCGATGGATGGATGGATGGCAAATTAACCTGATTCGATTTTGTTAAAGATAACCTTCGATTTGCATCAATAAATGTGTCATGAGATATCGAATAACAAAGCTGTCTTGAGGGTTTAGAAATGATTAAACAGAATATATTTCAAGGGTAATTAAGTAATGTATGATGGCAGAATTTCATCATGCAATTCATGAGATGAAAGATTTTATCAACGTTTGTTAGAATGATTATCATCAAAAATCGGGTTAGCTTTTGGAATGATGACATAATTTTTGTTTCTAGGAATATCAGAGGCAGACTTTCATGTCAATATTAAACTAGTTAGGAGAATCATATCTTATTCTAGAGAATGTCTGATAAAGGGCGATGAAATACCTGTCAGATTGGTTTATTAATTTTCCACTTAGTATATCCGATTTCTTTCAGACAATTTCCTCTTGAATTCAACCAGATTAGTTCTTAATTTCATACTCATCTGACTGGTCTTTTGTTCGCAAAAAAATTTCAATAGAATCTTTTGTTCCCAGTTAACTATGTTCTGATTGCATGCAAGAACGTCTCGATCTTTTTAATACATTTCGAGTACATTTGAAATTGTAGAAAAGTGTATCAAAATACATGCAATCAACTCTGTTATTTTCTCAAACCGGATGAACGTTTTCATGCGAATCGGAACATTTTTTTATTCACAAAAATAAATCCAGCTGCTTGTTCTTTTGTTCTATTAGAATATTCTTTCAGGATAACTTGTCATTCTTCACTCTTGAAACTTTCTTCCAACTTAATTAGAATGTCATCGTCGGAATGTTTTAAAGTCTTCTTCAAAGAAATTAGACTTCATTTTTTGTCCATAAAATGACATACAGACCCACATTTTGAACGAACAATTGTTGTGCAGTATTTATTGATAACACGTTCTTTCGAATTGTAACCATTTTCACAGTCAATTTACCTAGTAAATCATGCTTATCTTTCCTGCGTCACAATATTTTCTGTTCATTACCTTTTATATTTTTCTCCTCTTCTTGCCACTCAAATTACATTGTTTCTTTTCCACTTTTGTTTTTTCACACTTTTATTCGCCGTCAGCTTATACTACTTAGTATTATTTTCTTTTCTGCGCGAAGAACTCCATTACGGATAGCAAGTTTGTTATCGTCAGTGCACATTTTCCTTATTTATTCTCCTAGAAGTGGCATCTCCCTTACAGACTAGGATTATTTTTAGATGATTATGTGAAATATTAGATAAATTGTTCGCAAAAAGAATATAAAATCGTTTAATCAAACGCAGAAACACACGATGTCTTGCCATTGAGTGAACCATGTTATTTCTCAATGGTCGAGCGCGCAATCCAACTGTTTCAGGATTTGGTCTACATAGTCAAAACTATACACAGAAAGTAGGTCATTCATGTATCGTCGGTGGTTGTTTATCAATAGTAACTGGACTTATACTTATCGTCGTGGGTGTTATATCAGAAGAGAAGAAAACTACGTACATTGGTGCCGGTGTTATTGGCTTGGGTGTTGGATGTTTTCTTGTAACGTTAGTTTGCTTCTATGCTAAGCTGGACATTTGTTATAATAATTGGGCATATCGAGCTCGTGTTCTACCAGCAAGTAGTGGAACTCCTCAAGCGATTCCACCGAGTGCTACTGCAAGATCACGATTGGCGACAGAAGAAAAATTGCCGAGTGCTATAACACCTGATATGCCTGCACCATTAACTACGGTATCCGATGTCGAAGTACATAAATTTGCTACTGATTCAATAAAAAAGCAGTATTCAATCACAGTCAAATCAGAGAATGTATCTTAACGCTTTTTCATCCATTCGAATGCAACTTTAATTCGTTGATCGTGGAAATTCAAATTTTATTATTTCAATTAGAATAGTTTTAAGTTCTTGCAAAAGAACTCAAGCAACTGAATATCAATGCAATATCATTCATATGTATGTTTGTATGAGTAAATATGCAGATTTATTTCAACTTTCAATACACAAAAATATACTCTTTTATGTATGATTTTCGTCGATGGATTATCATCATCATCATTGTATCCAACATGTCTTTAGTTTGGGTCGATCAATGATTTAAGGTTGAGATTGTGTTAAAAAACTTTCGTGTCTTGTACATTTCCATTGAAGTAATTCTTTTGTATTCTTTCGATCGATATGATCATTAAAAAACGGTCGTAATTTCATTCCGTGTGCAATACCAAATAAAACTCGATTACGATCAAGATCAGCATGACTATTCGCTAAAGAGATGCTATAAGCTTTACTTAACGATTGAATACTTGAGTCGTATTGACCCTAATGAAAAAGAAGAAGAGTACGATGAGAAGAATATACGTCTATGATCGTATTTACCAAGGTATTGTGAATAAAACCGAGTGCACTGCATGCACGAGCATATTGAATATCACCTTCTTTATCGGAAACTTTTTGTAAATACTTTGTCAGATATTCCGTACTTTTTTCCACGTTAGCTTTCCTAAAACAGATGAATCAGTGAAAATGACGTCCATATGCCTCAACAATTTGTTCGTCCGTTTCCAAGGGGCATAAGATCTCATGGTAACGACTATTATTGTGATGATTTCGATTTTGAAAACTGGAAAAGCATCTATTCAAATAAAGCTTTCTATCTCAGGAATCAATTTTGAAGCCGTAAGTAACGAGAAATAGTACAGAATTATTTTTAATACTATTTGAGACTCAATTGAAACGACGAAATTTGATTGCAATTATAACTGTTGTCAAGTGTGCCTACTTCTGTCTAATAACTTGTGAATATAGATCGAAACATGTGTAAAATACATTTCGAGTGGACGGAGAAGTCTACTAATTGCTTTTTTTCGAATTACTTTTGATAACAAATGGCAAGCGCTTCACTAGCCAAACCAAATCCTTCGTCATCATTTACGTCTTGACAGTAATTATAATATCTATGAAGGTATTTCAAAGCTGAATCAACATCTCCGTGTTCGAGGAAAGCTTGTCCTAGTTTGTAACTTGTTTCATTTTCGACTTTCTTATCACCAGCTGTAAAATAACACAAAGAAACAAGATGAGAATCTTCTTCTCGTAAGTCATTTTACTTTGTGCAGATGCTTCGTATGCTTTGACAACATATTGAAGCGATTGTGCATCTGTTCGACGTTGTGCTAATTTCATATATAAACGCGTCAATTGAATGCTCGCGTCAGTTTTCAAATTTTCGAAATCTTCGCTCAATTCACGATATTTGATGAAGCTATGTAAAGCTTTCATCAAATCACCTAGGAAAAGAAAAGGTTGCATTGATGTGTTATTTCAAATGCTGGATTTACCTCGTCGTTCATAAGCCAAACCAACATTGAGATGTGCTTCAGCAGCTAATTGTGGATCAAACTGTGAATAAGTCTGAGCAACTGTTAAACTTTTTTCATAAAAGTAATCTGAAAGCCAACGATCATCACTCTTCAAAAAATACGCCGCTAATTCCAGATAGTTATGATACATATTTGAGTATTGACCTAAATAGACAGAAAATCTTGTCTATAAAAAGTCTTCGAAGATGATAAACCACAAACATCGTCGTTCGGCTTCTTCCGCTTTATTCAGATATTGACAAAGAAAACGTAATTTATCAGGCTCGGCATCGAGTAATGGTCTTCGGTGAAGCGGATGTTCAGCTCCTAAACGTTCACGATCATCCTTTTGCCATGCTAATATCGCGCACAGTTCCCGAAATGAATGATGGTATCCATTTCGAAGCATATCAGTTGATAGTTGCCGTTGTAGTGAACTTCGAAACCTAAATGAAATCCCCACAAGACATATGAGTAGATTTCGTTTCTAAATAGAATTTACTTTTCTGTATCTTCCTTTCGAAGTGCCGATTGCTTTTCATAGGCAATAGCAGCATTTTTTATTTGGTTTAATGGAAGCTAAAAATGAATCTTCTTCAGGTTAAAACAGAACTTTTTTCGTCGTACGCACTTTAGTTTTCTCTTTCATTGTTTTACTTGGTAAGATCACATTACGATAGAATCCAGATTGACCTTTAGGTGAACTTTCATTTGCTGGCTTTTGTCGATAGACAGTTGTTTCCGCTAAAATAGATTCAGATTATTTTCAAAACAGTCAACATTCTGCTTCAAAGTACAAATCAAATGCGATCTTTGAATCATTTGTTTCGATTGGCAGCGAATATTTATCTTACCCTCACTTCGCCAAAGAATAACATCTCTCTGTCTCTATCTCTAAGTTTTCTAATTCAACGTGAGAACTTGGTATTTATACATACGAAAACTTACCCATGATATCTTTGCCTCGTATTAATATTCGTTAGAAAAGAAAAGTCTGCTTTCCAATCGATCACGCAGTTTTATCGAACGAAAATAATCACCTTCTTCTTTCTTATTCTCCATTTTACAATTCATTACTATAACACCTTGACTCCTAATCGATTGACTATAGTGGCATCTATCTCTCACCTTACCTGTAAATTTTCAACACGCATTTGAAATTTTCTCGAAATTTTCATTGAGAAAACAAAGTCGGAAATACTTTTGAAAATTTTTTATTGAATATCTTTCTACAACCAATGTAAATCTTCCAAACCTACAACTCACTGAAAAACCATTCAACCATCTATCAGTTCTCACCAAACACTTCTGAACTAAGAAATAAACTGTTGAGAATGAGTCGCATTCTTTCTCTCGTAAGCCTGATTTTCATTTTCGGTATTTTGAATATCCCATTCAGCGAAAATGTCGATCGGAATAATTTCAAAACGTGTGAACAAAGTGCTTTCTGTCGGTAAATATTTTGTTTGTCACAAAACAAAAACAACTTTGACCCATGGTTTTTACTCTTAGACGGCAACGGAAATATAAACCCGAAGTCTCACCTTACGAGGTCGACTTGAACTCAATGATAACTGTTCAAGTCGGACATACACAATTTGTACTTCTCAATACTCACAAATCTCATGTTAAATTTCAACTAGATGTTTATACATTAGAACACAATTCCTTACGAGTTAAAGTAAACGAAATTAACCCAATAAGAAAACGCTATGAGGTCGAACATAGTCTCGTTTCTGAACCGAAACTAGTCAAGTAAGACTCATAGAATGATTATGTTCGAATATTTTTCGAGTGGTTGTCTTTAGTGTAAACTTGACGAGATTAGATGAGAATTTAATTGAAGGAACTTTTGGCAAATCAGCAAAATTTATCCTCAACGCTAAACCATTCCGATTAGATTTATTTACTAATGGAATATTTGTCATGAGTATGAACTCAAAAAATATGTTCAATTTCGAACATTATCGAACAAAACCAGGGTAAGTACGTTTGAATGCGATGAATGAATTAAACATTGCTCTTTTCTCCTTCGATAGAACCAATGAAGGAACAAATGTAAGTCGATAAATATATAACGTTCACTTGAAAGAAACTAATCAAGTAAGTGTTTTTGATTATAGAATGAAGAAAACGAAGAAGGAATGTGGGAAGAAACATTTAAAAGTCATCAAGATCCCAAACCGTATGGTAAGACTGCAAATCTTCCTTTCACAATGATGAGTTTTTTTTATTTAGGTCCATCATCGATCGGTGTTGATATAAACTTTCTAAATTTTGAAAACGTCTATGGTATTCCCGAACATGCAGATGCATTCTCACTTCGCTCGACACAGTAAATCTTTGAATTTGTTTGATGTTTTCTATACATTGAAAAATCTTCCAGCGATACTGATCCATATCGTTTGTTCAATGTTGATGTATTCGAATATGATATTCAAAATCCCATGGCTTTGTATGGCTCTGTTCCATACATGTTAGCTCACAAGTAAGTCTATTTATACGTCAAAAGATTCGTTCATTTTGTTTTCTGTTCAGTGAACATGCAACCGTTGGATTTTTCTGGTTAAATGCTGCTGAAGGATGGATTGACGTTAACAATGATAAACTGACAGTACAAGTAAGTATTCCTATATGTATAATTCGAAAAGATATGCAAGAGATGATAGGGAACTAAATGGTTTTTTTGCTTGCAGAATCCTTGGACGAAAGTTATGGTAATAACCTCTTCTGCCGAATGTATTTTGTTTTCATACTGATTCTAATGCATACATTAAGCTTAAGAGTTATGATTTGTGAATGTGTTTTTCTTCACTATAAATGAGTCAACGCAGAATTGCGAAACGATTAGAGAATCCGAGTTGACTTCAACCTACTGCTTCGTTCTTTTTTTGTATAGCTTTACGATACCCTTTCAATTAACAGTTCTTCTGTTTGTTAGCGCAGGTAGTCAGTAGAAAAATGAATGTTTTCAGAAACATATAGATATTTCTTTTGAAATGTCATTGCAATGCAATTCGAATAATTTTACTTGTCTTTAGGGATTCTTTTCGACAGTTGCAAATTTCTTTTCTACAAAACCAGGTGTTGATAAAAATGAAGTGCCGGAGGTGACTACGCATTGGATGTTTGAATCGGGTATATTTGATGGATTCTTCTTTATGGGACCAACGCCAAGAGATATTTTCAAACAATATACTGCTATTACTGGTTCAGTTCCACTTCCACCGGTACGATTATCTTTTGAATTTCATTATTCATACTGTGTACGTTGATTTTTTCAGTTATGGTCGATTGCGTATCACCAATGCCGATGGAACTACAATGATGAAGATGACGTCCGAAGGTAGGATGAACAAGAAGATGTATTGTTGTCTGAACAAGTCAATGTTGTAGTGTTTTAAATGGATTCGAAAAATATTTTATTCCACTTGACGTCATTTGGCTTGATATTGAACATACAAATGGTAAACGGTATCTTACTTGGGATACAGGAAAATTTCCTAATCCACAGAAAATGCAAGATGATGTCGCTCATTATGGAAGAAAAATGGTTACCATTAGTGATCCGCATATAAAAAAAGATGATGGATATCAAGTATATGCTGTAGCTAAATCGAAAGGATATTTTGTTAAGACAAAAGAAGGAGCTGATTATGAAGGATCATGCTGGCCAGGTAGATCAGGAGATAAAGCAAGTTTTAATCTTTAGTTTTGGTTCTTATTATTAATAGGTGCTTCTATGTGGCTGGATTATTTCAACCCTGATGTATTCAAATGGTATTCGGAGCTTTATTCATTAACAAACTATAAAGGTTCAACAAAAAATCTTTTCATATGGAATGATATGAATGAACCATCTGTTTTCAATGGTCCAGAAATAACTTTCCCCAAAGATATTGTTCACCACGGTGGATGGGAAGATCGTGATGTTCATAATCTCTATGGTATGCTGCAGCACATGTCTACATTTCAAGGCCTTTACAATCGTTCCAACGGACATATTCGTCCGTTTGTATTGACACGTTCGTTTTTCGCTGGCTCACAACGAACAGCTGCGGTATGGACAGGTGACAATAAAGCTGAATGGAGTTATTTGAAAATAGCGACACCAATGCTTCTAAGTCTATCTGTTACCGGATTTGGTTTTATTGGCGCTGATGTTGGAGGATTTTTCTCTAATCCAGACGCAAAATTACTTGTCCGATGGTATCAAGTATGTCAAAAGCAATGTCATTCTTTTCTTTTGTCTTCACTAATCTTCATTTTTAGACAGCAGCATATCAACCATTCTATCGTGAACATGCCCATATTGACACTGCACGCCGTGAACCATGGCTATTTGGGAATGAAAATACACGATTGATTCGAAAAGCAATCGAACAACGTTATCAATACTTACCTTACTGGTATACTTTATTTTATAGACAAGAAAAGCAAGGTATACCACCCATGCTACCTTTATGGGCAAATTTTCCAAAAGACAAAAAGACATTTAAAATAGAAGATTCATTTATGGTTGGTATGTATACATCTGTATTGATAGAAATGAGTTTATTCTAAATGATTGAATGTTTTGCATAGGAAATGGTCTACTCATTTATCCAATTACCGAGGCTGATATTAATCAAGTTGCTGTCTATTTTCCTGGTGAAAATACAGTAAAAATAATACATTTTCTATTCTACCAGTCAGTTCATTCTTTTTGATTTACTAAGATTTGGTACGATGTACGTACCTTCATTAAATTCCAAGGTGCAACAACATCACTTGTCCCTGTCGATATGCAATCGGTAATTGTCTTGAGCAATATCATAAAAATGTTTACATCATTTGTGTTTCTTTAGATTCCCGTTTACCAATTAGGTGGTGTTATCATTCCACAAAGATTCAGACGACGACGTGCTTCAATGCTTGCCATTCATGATCCAATAACATTAGTAGTTGCATTAGACCGCAATGTATGTGAAGCTCGAAGACAAGAAATTGATTGTAAATTTGATTCGTTTAGCGTGAAGCAAGAGGCGAATTGTATCTTGATGATGGTCATACTTATGATTATCGACAGAAACGTCAATTAATCTATCGTCGGTTTACTTTCAAAAATAATGTACTTTATTCAAAGTAAGACTTTTATTTGTCGAAAAAGAAGATCTCTACAGTGTTTATCTTAGAACTCTCGATTCAACCAGTAAATTTGAAACTGATGCTTGGATTGAACGTATAATTATACTTGGTTATCCGAAAAATCCCACTAAAATAACGATCAATTCGGGTGATAAACAAGCCGTTCCACTTCATCGATATCATGATGAATCTCAAACGCTTACTATTCGACGACCTGGCCCATCAGTTGCATCCGATTGGACACTTACGATAGCTTAAAATCTTAATTTATGAACTCAAGTTCTGCGCTTTCATCAATGTGCTTAATAACTTTTGTTATTCAATGAATTTTGTTGATTTTCATGCGATAAGCCATGTGATATCTGTTTCGTCATACATATTTTGATATTTGTAATGTGCTTTTTTCCCTTATGCATTTCTACATTCGAACGTGAGCTTTCTTTCTTCTATTTTCCTTATATGCATGCAAAAAAATTGTGCTTTGATGGTCGCATGATCTCAGAAAATGAAAGCCAAAAACTCTCAATTGAGAGGAAAAAAAAATATAATATTTAAACTGACACGATACAATTAATTATTTTATTTCGACACACGAAAGTATTTACTTGCAGAACTTCTATAAAGTTAAACAAGAACCAAACTATTTCAAGTGATCTCATTTAGTTCCATCGTAATAAATGTTGAATTATAACTCATTCTGTAAACAAATCAAAAGCATCTTTTGCAGAAAATCAGTCGTGACAGATAAGATGACTATAAAAGAACCAGAAACTAAGAGTTATTAGAAATGAAGAAAGCGATTTATTCCGTCTTGAACTGTCTAGAAAAGAAGACATTGATTGATTTTGAAATCACAGGATCAGTGAAATGATGCGAAATCTTTCTATGGATGAACAATTGATCTCATGTTGTTTGAATAACTTCAGCAAAGTAACAGTCAACCAAAATTATGAAAACTCAAAATTAGTTTACATCCTTTTCGGCAGGTCACAAGATTTTATCCATATCCTGTGACGCGTAAAAATCATAACCAATTAACCCGTATGATTAGTCGAGAAAATACCATCAGAAATTGTTCTAGACGTTTCACTTGGATCCATGTTTTGAATCCTGATTCAATAGCGCTCGAGAATTTTAATTTTAAGCATTTCGTTTATTTTTCATAACAATCATATAATAACATTTACATTTTCTTATCACAAAGATATTAAAGTAACATAAAATGACAATAATTGTTATAAGTCTTCACAACAAAAACATCGATTATTGACACGCCTTTTACCAATATCCTTGCACATAATCTTTCATACATTCATTATTTGATATCTATTTGAAGTTTAAAAATAAGCACTAATCATTTTAGAAAACCATTCAATAGTCGTAAAGATCGCTAATTTTCGATACCATCTAGCGATTACCTGAGAAATAGATGTCATTTATCTTGCAGATTTAGAATTGTAGATTAATTTGGCATAACCTGGGAGCCATGCCGACAAGTTTGCGAGAAATATAATTTCTTGCTGTATACCACATTTAATAATAGTCCAAGTTCGCAAACAATGATCTTAGGTCTAATAATACAGTCGTATATGATGCTATTCTCTTTCACAGATTAACTATATCTTTGCAACTCTAGGATATTCAGGATGAACAATACTAACTGATGATTAGTTTGATCAGTATAGTAAGTGGAATATCAGTTTGTATATTTCTTACTGCAGCAGCATACAATTCTAATCCGTGTGTATCCAAAAGTCGTTTGACGTAAAAGATTCCAAAGTAGAAGAAATTCCCAAGAATTTTTTCTCATACAATTCCAAAAGAAATAGGTGATCTTTTTCATGTACAGCTAAGATAATTTATATTGTAATCATCTTAGGTAATTACCAGACCAGTCCGTGGAATAGTTTATTTGTTATTCTTATTTTCTTTCGTAAATGCGAACATGAATACAATCAGCTAGAAATCGTTCATAGTGTTTTCAATCACTCGATCGGATCTCTACTCTGTAGTGATTGATATTAAAACAGTAAAAGTGAGACGTTAAGTTAATACTCTTATCAGTTGTTATGTATTAATTTTTCTTTCCCCTTGAATATGGAAAACCGAACCGTATTGATATTCGATTCAAATTAGAATATCAAGTCCTTTCATATATTTTCTCTGTTTTTAAACATCAATTTTGATCATTATTACTGCTTTCAAATCATCTATGACTTTCCGTTGAATATCTCATTGGGAAAACGATCGAAACGCTTAAAAAAACTTTCGACATTGTATTCGAAACTGTTCAAATCGCCAATTATTTTCCTTTTTTTTCTCAATGTACTGAAGTGTTAACAGTAATATGATCTTCAAACACATGAAATTCATATGTATTTTAATGCACGTTATTCATTTATTCTTGCAAGGTTGTCGATTCATCAAGAGCATATGTATGTGTCGATCAATTTCATGTCGAACATATCGTCTACAGTGGAAAAAACGAAGATTGTTTCAATCAGTTTAGAGAAATAATTAATTGTTAATATTCANTTTCATTCTTTGTTTGCGATGAGTCACCATTTGTTGATGGATACTGTTCTTGTTGTAAATCATACTTTGCCGCCCCACTCCGAGTTTTTATTTAACTTGAACGCACACAACACTACTACACACATATAAGCACTTGAGAAAAAAAAATTTTTTTGGCCAATACGCGTCGAGTAAACGAAGATCATCGTTTCTAAAAAGGTAACATAGATGATAATTAGACTCCGTAACAAATAAGCATAGCTAAGAAGGAAAGTCGAAATCAAAAATGATCAAGAGTTAAATCTATTTGTTGCGTCTGCTCACCTCTATCATCATTGCCGTACGTCTTGTCTGCTGTTGCTCTTTTTGAAAAGTGAATGTGAGTGAAATGCAGCTCTATCTTTTTTTCTCTCCCTCGTTGTGATGAGTGTCGTTTTACAACCACAGACAAGCGATAATTTTTATCAAAGTTTTGTAGCCCCCGCTTGGAATGGGAGCAGCAGACGCAGGAAGAGTGAAATAAAGAAAAATCGTCGAAAGAACGAGAGAGAGAGAAAGAAGGGTCTTATCAAAAGAGAGCTTATCATCCGACACGATCACTATTACCATAAAAAACATTTTCTTTAATGTTTACGTTAAGCCGAAGATCTCATTGTTCAGAAAAACCCATCGGACATGTTTTTTTCTTTTCTTTCGACAAACGGTAGGTATGGTTGGACCAATTAGAAAAAAATTGTCACCTCCGCCAATGACATTTCAGAAGAAAAGAGAAAAGGAAGAAAACGAAGAAAACGAAGAAGAAAAAAAAAGAAAGAAAAATGACGAGCATAAGAAGAGATTTTTTAACAATAATCGTTCCTATTCTTATTTGTTATCTTTAGTGACATCGTCTTTTTATCAACATGTCATCTGTTTGGACACCTATTGATGAAAAAACATTGTCAACAGCAATAATCAAAAATGAACATGCCGATGATGATGATAATAATAGTCTTTCAAATACTAGTGGCACACCAACATCATCACCGCCTAATACAACACAACATCAGACATCCTCACCAAGAAATTCTTGCCAAATAAACGAACAACAACAACAACAACAGCAGCAGCAGCAAGGAGCAATATATTCCGAACAACCATCATCTACTACGTCAACAACAGTAACGAATATAAATACTGTTTCTTCGAATGATTTACAACAAGAACAGTATCCATCAACAAATGGTGACTCATCGCAAACAAAGAATGAAACGATTGTTCTCATCGTGTTTTTTCCATTTTAGAATCGTCTTCCTTTTCTGGTCAATTTCAACAGCAAGGACAACTACCTTATACTGAATCAGTTGCATATTACAGCGAGGAATTAGTCAACGGTGTCAATCATCTTCAGCAACAACACCATCATTCACAAAATTACTCTCATATACAACAACGTAAGAACATAGCAATCTCGTGACAGCATTATATCTATTCATTTTAATATTTCCTAGCATTGTATTCGCCACCCGCACCAGGTAATCGCCACCAGCCATCGATTTCGCCGACTCGCTTCACTTTAAATCATACTTCTCAATCCCAATCCGAGTATCGCCATTCATCCTATGATGAAACAAATCGATACGTTGCTAGTACTAGCACACGTCGAACATCGACGTCACCAATAAATACTGTCTACACTGATAGTGTCAATCCAGGATGGCACTCGAACGATATTCAACATTATTACAGTTTACCTACCGCATATGCTCCTTCATCAGCGCCGAATCTGAATGATTTAACTTTTCTTCAACAATCGCAATTAGCAAATAATACGGATCAAATTCAGTTTTGGAATGAAGCAGCGACTGTTGGTACGTACTTTCAGTGTTTAGGTAAAAGTTGTGCTAGCATAAGGAAATAAATGGAAGAACTGGACATATTTCACTTTAGAGGATTATGAACCGATTGACGGCCGAGAATGCGTCAATTGTGGTGCAATATCCACACCGTCATGGCGTCGAGATGGTACGGGTCATTATTTGTGCAATGCTTGTGGTTTAAGTCATAAAATTAATGGTTCTAATCGACCAGTACAACGATTACCTCGACGCTTGGTAAGTAGTAGTTCATTATTTTGCAGACAAGCTTATTTTACTTTTCTCTTTCCACGTAGGATGATGAAGATCGTTCTCGAACATCAGCTATCGAAATGGGTCTTCCGGTTATTGATCTAGGTTGCTTACCCAATGTATCTTCATTAACAAATCCGTATTCTCATCATCATCATCCGATCCATTCAAGTCAAATGTATCATCCAACGACACCACAAACATCACGTCGAAATAATTCATCAAAAGCATTGTCATCAATGGCACTTTCGAATTCCGATTCACATTATGCACCATATCCATCGATGAAACCGGCTACGAACAATGGTAATGATACAGCGAATTCTCAATCTCAATTGCCATCATTTCATCGAACACCAACGGTATACAGATTTATTCACATGTCTATTCTTAGCATTTCTTTGTTTTTATTACACAGGATGACACAGCTTCGTCGATTAACAATGTCTTACTTAATTCTGCTCACAAACAAGTATGCTTCAGTCGTTTAATTAGAAAAATTCGAACAACTATGTATTTTCTCAGGCTTTACCAGGAGCACGTCGTTCTGGTTTACAGTGTGCCAACTGTCAAACACAGAATACAACTTTATGGCGACGAAATAGCGAGGGCGAACCTGTTTGCAATGCTTGTGGTCTGTATTATAAACTTCATCAAGTAAGAACTATCACTCATTGTCACACTAGATTTTCCATACGATTCTTTTTCTTTTCCATAATTAGATTGCTCGCCCATTGAATATGGTCAAGCCAGGTATCCAGACACGCCGTCGAAAGCAGAAGAGTTGCAGTGGAAATGGTTCTAGTGGTAATTCCAATTCGAAATCTAAAAGTAATAAACATGGTATTACGTCAACATCGGGTAAGGAACCAGCAGCATGCGCATCGGAACCATCGCTCGATTACAATTTAACTGCCGCACGTAAGCATATGATTCACAACGAAATAGAGAAGAGCTAATTTTTCGTTTCGTTAATAGATCTTGGAAGACCAGGAAATTATCATCATGAATATAATTCAATTCGAAGTGATTTATTTCCTTCACATCTTCAGTCTCATTTGAATCAACATAGACACCATCCATACTCAGCAGCACCTGATCAACATCACCGTTTTTCATCTCAACAACCGAATGTTGTCCAATACCATCATCAACAAGCACAACAGCAACAACAACAACAATCCGATATGACACCTGTAGTTTTCGATGCTGAACTTTGTGCGAGAGAATTAGTCGCATCACCACTTTCATCGACAGGTTCATCAATAACAAACAATGTAACCAATGGTGATGAACACCATTCCACCATAGTATCATCAATTCCATCAACGACCACTACAACTGACTGCCAACCGTGATAAGATCAGATAGTTGTCATTTGTTGCTCCTTTTTTTTCTGAATATGTATCTTTATTTCTTGTATGTAAAAAAATGAAAACAAATCCTACGTAATAGGGCATGTGAAAAAGTGAGCTCTTTGTGATGCGTTAATGATTCTGTTTTTTCTTCTTCTTTTGTTCTTTCTTCTTTTTTGTTCAAAAAAAATAATTTATACTTGTTCGTTGAATAATATGTGTGGTTAAAACTAAATGTTTAGATATGTGAAAGCATTGTCATTTTCGTCAATACTTACCTATAGGATATATTTGGAGATGCTTTACAAGCAGCATATGGATTATGCGTTTAAGTTTAGTCTAATTTGTTCCTCTTGATTCACAAATGTGGAGCATTTATAGTTGAGAAAAACATGTTGATTTTGTGGAATGTGCATGAAAACTTCATGATCATCAGATTTAATAGTACTTAGATGTCACTCGTGTACATTGTTCACTGGATACGAAGGAGCACCAAATATTTTCGTTATTTGAATTGTTCTAACGATCATATGTTAAAAAACATCCTTGTCGATTTAAATCAAAATTAAGAGATCCAATTCTTCAGGAGTTGCTATTATTAACGAACATTCAAAGAAAAACCATACCATACGCTATTGTTGCTCAAGTAATCATTGATCAATTATTGGCATATTTGCTCAAGCGATATAAACAATTCTAATTGGTAGTTAATAAAGAGTTACACTAATAATGAAATTTTACATAAGCGCGAAAGTTTCACTGTATAAGATCTCCCATTTCATTCGAACTTTTCTTGAAATGAAAGCGTATATTATTCAATAATTACCGCGTCACTCCATATTGAGGTTCGATTTAAAAAAATCTTCTTTCCATCACGTTCATCAGCTCATGCTGTTTTCACTTTTTTTTCACACCTATTGTTCAATGATTATCATTCATCTTCGTTCGAACATCATTCATTCTCGTTGTCATAATCAATCAGATTCTGTTTTCGGACGATGACGACAGCAAGTAAAACTATCTCTATGTATTGATATATAGATACTTTCCAATGTAAACTGTCCAACAAAGTCTAGTCGTGTGTCTTCTGACAGTAGTTCTTCTGTTTCAACACATCTATATAAGATGGTAGTTGAACTGGAACAGTGCCTTTCGTCCTAAATGACCTAATATTAAGATGGCATGATGAGTAATCGAAGCTGTTGTTGTTCACCATCATGATTATGATGATGATGGACAGTAGGGGGTGTTCGATTACCGATGGATACATAAGGTGGAATACTAAAGTGTCCATATTGAATAAGTTTGATGGGTGATAAGAAATGAATTTCAATTTATCATCGCTCTATGTGCATATTATATCCATTTAAGGAATGATCATTAACATTATATTTGACGAGTTGATTGCAATATCAAATGTTCACGAAAAAGAACATAACTCCCTTAAGCTGTTGTTTAAAATGCAAACAAAAATGAATCAGAGCTTTCGATTTAACTGATTTGTCTGATAGAATGCAAAACCAAACATGTGCAATTATTTCCCTTGCTTATATTCGTCTATATCCCATCTCGGCGCGTCTCTTCGTTATCTTATCT